TGCTTCTCCACATGCGTCGTCGCTTCGTCAGCGAGCGCGTGGTCTTCGAAGAGGAACGCGAGTTCTTCTAGGGTGCGCCCATAGGTTTCGGGGAACATGAAGTACTGTGCAGATGTATCAGCCGATGCATCCCATTCCAAGGATATGTACAGGGCAAAACCCTGCGGAAGTGAAGATGACTTACGATGAAGATAATCTCAAACCCGAGCCAAGCGCAATACATAATCAGCCACTTCCCCTGAACATGCTTCAACCCAATGGGATTAAGTATCGTTGTCGTGAAAACCGCCGTTCGGCTAAAGAACTGAAAGATAGTGATCCCCTTTGTGCGCTGCGCAAATGGGAACAACTCGACCAAGAAAGCTGCGACTCCATTAGCATCCCTTTCCCCATCGAACACGCTCGCGCCGACTTACTGTATGTCAACGCATTATACCCAATATTATAACACACCTGATACAAAAAGATGATCGCAATCGTCAGCCTCGCAGGTTCAATCCTCTTCGTAGCCGTATACCGCTGCATCGCCACCGTCCACGCGACATAGCAACACAACAGACTACTCGCGCAGATGAGATACATTTTCCTACGAGGGAAACGTCTCACCAACAGCGAGATACACACCGCATTCACCAGATTCCAGCTATTGAGCCCAACATTCACTTTGCCTACAAAGCCAGGGTCGTCGTACCCGATCATGTTAAGCAGCTGGTTGAGATAGTAGCTGAGTAAAGTGTTTCCAGACCACTGCGTGAAGAGTCCGAGGAAAGAACCGATTATCACGCGCTTGCGTAGACCGGGAACGGCGATCATTTCGCGCCAGGAGCGTTTTGAGTGTTCGAGTTCAATGCGGATGGTGTGTTCGATTTGGGCCATTTCTGCGGCGGCGAAGGGCGAGGTGGTGGCGCCTTCGGCGTGGTAGGTTATTAGTGTGGCGTAGGCTTCTTCGCGGCGGTCTTTGGAGATGAGGAAGCGTGGGGATTCGGGGATCATGCTGGGGAGGTTAGCTTGGTGGGATGTTGGAAGCAGTGGGAATGAGGCGGGTACAAGATGAAGACGATCTGGAGTAGTGATGGGCCGGCTTGAAGGAGCGAAGGTATGCGCCAGGCCCAGTCGTCTTTTAGGCTCTGGGTGCCGTAGGAGACTCCTGCTGCTATGAGCGAGCCTACGAACCAGAGTGCGTTGAAGAGAGATGTCATGATGGGTCGTTCCTTTGGATATGCAAGCTCGCCCATCAGTGATGAACCTGCGATGATGCAGAAGGGTATGCCGAAGCCGAGGATGAAGCGCGCGCCGACGTACATGCCAGCTACAACGTGTTAGTTTAAAATTCATCTGATGATTGAACGTTCAGTCCTACCGCTAATGGAGAAGGCTTGAACTACAGATCCCACGACCATGATCCAAGAGCCTAAAAAGATTGCCCATCGTCGGCCAAATCTATCGTTCACGTACGGCACCAGTGGAAGAGCGCAGATTGCGCCAAGGTTGTATGCTGAAGACATGATACCGAGAAGCGCCCCTTGTGGGTTATTGAAGTCTCGGTTGTTAGCAACGGCATGTCCTGAGCGAAACCTCGACTTACAGAGCCGCCATGTTGGCGCGATTTGCACTGCGTTGATCATCTGCGAATCAAATCCAGAAGTCATCTCAATCCCAATACACGTCGGCAGCAAGAGTGCATACAGCCTCCTCAAATTCCGCTTTCTGTACCAAGGTATCTGGTCCTGTTCAACAATGCGCGTCAATATCGGTTCCGCCTGCCTCGCAGCCGCCGCAGCGCCAACAGGCGCCATCTTTGGTATCACACTTCAGACTGCAGTTCCAGCAGAAGTCGAGGGAATGTCACTAGACAGATAAACGAAGCAGTGGCGGCTAGCAGTGATGGGCGTCCGGGGCGTGCGGACATGCCCGTTAGTCCTATATACCCCAGATTTGCGTGGCGCATCATGGCTCGTATCACCAAACTGCATGCAGGTGAGGCAACGAAACTGGAAGGGCCGTGGTAGAGTTGTGCTGGGGTAGGGGTGCATTGACCTTTGCCCCGCACCCGGGCGATGTTGGTGGTCATATACGACGTCCAGTAACGAATCAAGGATCGTCCCTAAAGTTGTGGTACGCGGATAGAGTAGTACGCCACGCAGATTCGCTTTTGTGTCGCTGTTCGTATGACTGTGGGCATGAAACACACACGCATCCGCGTAATGTTTGTTCGGCGCTATGCGACAAAGAAATCTGTAAGTCGGAGCCAAACGACGTGCGCATGATACACGATGACATCTCATACTCGATGTAAGTTTCCTCAACCCGAGGACATGCCAAGAGGGGTAAAGTACCCAGTAAGAAGTTGATTGGCGATACCAATTCGACGGCCAGCCTGTTCCAGAATGGTCAGCACGGCACCGCATCCGGAGGACGAACCTTTGGCTCCATGGCATTGGATATACAAGCAGGATATAATGAGCCGATTGCGGAAGATGGACAACAGTGGGCCGTGCGCGGTATGTCTTATGGTAAGCGATGCGGTGTAAGTAAGCGATGGTGTCTGACGGACTACTCCAGACGTTGCGAACGCATCGTACACTCAGCGCTGCCTCTGACCGGCTGTTACACGGACGCAGCGTAGGTGACCGGTGAATGAATGACTGTGTTGGAGGATAAAGTTCAGATCGTATGTATTCACGAGAGCTTTTTCGGACACGAACGCAATATCCAGCTCTAAGTGAAGGAAGGCTGCAACTTTCCCGCGATCCTCTCCAGAATGCGCTCTGGCAGTAAGCTCTCGTACATGTGATCTGTCCACTCACAACAGACTCGTCGTGTATATGCCGGATCGATAATCTCCTCGATACCAAACGCGTTCGCAGTACGAACTGGGTTCATCAATCGCTTGTACTCGTTCTCCAACTCTGTATAACGCCTGTCGCGCGCTTCTTTGCCCTCTTTCCTCTCAATCTCCTTGAGTTCAAACGAATGTCCAACTTCAATGCCACCCTCGAGGGGTAAGGAGCCCCACACACCGGACGGCCAAGCGACGCGCATGCGTGGGTCGCGGCAGTCCAGCATGATGCCTCCAGCTACGCCGTAGACGCGTCGCACAATGACGTTGAAGATGGGCATGGTCGTGCTGTAATAGGTCGCAGCGAGAGTGACGCCATGCCGCATCGTTGCAGTGCGCTCTGCGACAGTTCCTATTGCGTAGCCTGGGACGTCAACGAATTGGACGAGCGGGAGGTTGAAAACATCGAGGAACTTTAGCATGCGTGTGATCTTTTGCGAACCCAATGCATCCAATGCGCCAGCGTTCTGCTCACAGTTCAGAGACACAATCCCGACTGGTCTGCCTGCAAACCGCGCGAGCCCTACTATTGCCGTAGTTCCCCAGAGCGCTCCGATCTCGAAGAACGAGCCTTGGTCGACAACTTCGGTGATGATGGCGCGCGGATTGTACATTCGGTTCTTCGAGCGCGGTATGATAGATCGAAGGTTTTCTGACATTCGGTCGATTGGATCAGAGCAGTCGATTGCTGGAGGCAGCTTCGTACCACAGTCGGGCAGATAGCTCAAAACCGTGCGTATCTGTTCAAAGCAGCCCGCCTCGTCCGGCGCCAGGCTATCGATTGTGCCATTGGTGCAATGCATTGCGGGCCCACCAAGATCTGTGAAGGAAAGACCCTCCTCGAATGTCGCGTTCTTGACAACACTAGGACCAGCGTTGAACAAAGATCCAATGTCTGCAGCCATGACCGAGAAGTGGCAGGCCACCACACGAGCTGCTCCGAGACCAATCGCCGGTCCAACCACAGCGCCCAGATTCGGTATTCCCATATTGAGCTGTTGTACGACTTGTGCGAAGGAGGGTAGCGGAGGGACGTAGGAGAAGCCTGTGGAGCGAATGGTCGTGACGGAGCCGCCGCCGGATGAGCCATCGACGAGTTTGACGATGGGAAGCTTCAACGCGATTGCGAGCTTCTCCATATATATCTGCAGTTGTCAGTACCAGCACGGATCGATGCAATAAATCGAACTCACGGTCTTCTCCATAAGCGCGCCATCAGCGTGTCCAGCGCGTATGGAGAAGTCATCGGCCGTGAACACAATCTTTCGACCTCGTAGTCGTCCGAAGCCTACCCGCCGTCAGTACGTCTCCCCAATGCCGTCCATAGTACATACCCTGCACGTTGTTCGAAGGCACGTAGTCTTCCGGTTCCTCTTTTACCGGCCCTAACTGCTTCCACTTGACTGTCCCACTCACGCTGCCCACCTCCTGGAAGCTCCCCGGATCAAGCAGCTGCTCGACTCTTTCGCGCACCCATAGTTTCCCTGCCTGCTTCTGCCTCACGTAGCCCCTATTGTTCCTGTCTGGCGTCGCGGCACTTTTGCGCAGAGTCGCAATCTGGCCAAGGATGTCTGAGTAATCAGCGGGCAGATCTGAGTCTGCGCCCTTTCGTCGTCGCCGCTTTGGTGTGTTGGGCGCGATGTGGGAGCTGACCTGCGCGAGTCGGTCTTTGGCGGTTTCGGATGACGTCGACGCGTCTTTGGGCGAGGGCTTTGGCCCGGGCTCGTCACCAGCCATGACTGTTGAAGAAGTGTAATGAAGATTGTTTTCGAGCTCCAGTGATGGAGCAACAACGGAATCGTCACATCTCGATGATGCGGACCAAGATGGGATGGTCGTGGTGGAATGTTGGGGTAGAGCTGGGGAACCGAGGCATCTTCAAGCTCCCCGCGCTTGCCCTCCTCCATCGCACTCCACCAAAACGCGACCATGTCATTGTGGATGAATCGAATGTTCAACGAGCGTCCTGCTTTAACATTCGATCTGAATCGCATTCCAGCGCCCAAGAAACCTCCTTGACGACGGACGACGTGATCACGCCTTACCTAATTCCACGACTCGTCCACTCGAGTCATTCCACTGATGGTATAGTGGCATCGGTACCTAGGTATATCCACGAATGTACTGCTTGACCGATCCATACTGCTGGCTGGACTCCAATATGACGCGACCTCCACAAAGACCCATCAAGCGACTTCTTATCGCGAATAGGTTAGTGGCCAAATACCTAGGTACCTAGGTAGTGTCCTGGTGAGCGTGATTAACTGTCTGTAGGGGGGAGATAGCAACACGAACTATCTCTTCAGCGCGAGAACTCGACATTGAGACGTTCGCAATCTACGTATCAGGCGACGACTCGCATGCCGTCCGAGCAAGCCATGCGATCAAACTATCATCAGCTTCATCTTTCATGAGTATTGGTGATCTTGTCGGCATCGTCAAAAAGCACCAAATCGATGCTGTACATCCAGGATACGGCTTTCTGTCAGAGTCAGAAGAATTCTCGAAGAGAGTCTGGCAAGAGACTGGCGCCGTAGTTGTCGGCCCTGGATGGGGTATCTTGAGTAATACTGGAGATAAACTCAAGGCGAGAGAGCTTGCTCAACAATGTAGGACAAAAGCCGCGTTAGAGTCGCGAGATTACTAACACGTAAAACAGGCGACGTCCCAGTATCTCCAGCACTCCAACAACCGACTAACAAAGTCGAAGACGTCCAACGCTTCGCATCCGAAGTCGGCTTTCCAATCATGGTCAAAGCAGTAGATGGAGGTGGTGGCCGCGGTATTCGTCTCATCCGCAGCGAAGACCAGCTTGCATCCTTGGTGAAGAGAGCAGTCGAAGAAAGCCCGTCCAAGCAAATTTTTGCAGAAAAGGCTGCAGTCGATGGATTCCGACATATCGAAGTACAGATCATAGGAGACGGTACTGGAAACGTGAAGCATCTATGGGAACGCGAATGCAGCATCCAGAGACGATACCAGAAGATCGTTGAGCTAGCACCGAGCGTTGTATCTGACCGCAAATTGATCGCAGAAGTCATTGAAAACGCTCTGAGAATGGCGAAACATGTATGCATGAATGCTGCTCACGATTCTGTCTTGCTAATATATGCATAGATCCAATACTTCTCACTTGGCACTTTTGAGTTTCTCGTCAACCCATCAACGAAAGAATTCTACTTCTTGGAGGTCAATCCTCGCTTACAAGTCGAGCACACGATCACGGAGTCCATCTCCATGACCGATATCGTCAAAGCACAGCTACTACTCTCCCAGGGTGCATCTCTGAATGACTGCGGCCTACCAGTCGCCGAGAGAGACCCGGAAGTTCCTCCTCCAGTGCATTCCATCCAACTTCGCATCACTGCGGAGAATGTTCAGAGCGATTGGTCATTATCAATTGGCAAGATCACCTCTTTCCAGTTCCCTTCGGGTAACGGTATTAGGGTCGACACACATCTCATCAGTGGCCGATCCGCCGTGGTTTCTGTAGACTTCGACAGTCTAATCGCAAAGGTCATCGTCACAGCGTCATCATGGAAAGATACCGTTTGCAAAGCCCAGCGAGCGTTGGATGATACGCAGATCGCAGGAGTAAAGACAAACCTCGACATGTTAAAAGCCATCATCGCACACCCTGACTTTCTAGACGGACAATGCGACACGCAATGGCTTGAAAGTAGACAATCCGAGCTCCTCCAATCAAGCCAAATCATCGCTTCAGTCAGCCCAGATACCCTAAACTCAGACATCGCGCCGTCCTCCTCGACAGCTTCGGTCTCAACGGCCAACACCCTCTTCCGAAAAGGCGACGCTTGGTCCATTTCGATCTCCACACCCACCACAAAAGCGAACGAGAAACCACCACTCCACCATCTCGAACTAACCCGCGTCCTGCGCAACGACTTCCCTACCTCCCTCAGCGCAGAACTGCTTTTCACCACGCCCTCAACAGCTTCATCTACCACGCCCCAAACAACACCCTACACCATAACTCTTTCTTCAACGTCCGCCAGCGCATCAGCCGCAACGTCGCATCATAGACGAGGGAACCCGAGCGATCCATCGCACATCAGCATTCCTTTCCCGGGGAAGCTGGTAGAAGTGCTGGTTGATGAGGGTGACGTGGTGAAAGAAGGAGACGTGATTTGTGTGGTCCAACAGATGAAAATGGAACTAGAAGTACGCAGTCCACGTAGTGGGCGGGTGACGTGGGTTACGGAAGCGGAGGATGGGGAAGATGTGGCGGAGGGGGTGTTGGCTGCTATCGTTGAAAGCTCGCAGGAAACTCGTCTTTGAAATCATAACTCATTCGTTAATTCTTTATATCATCTACATCCCATCCCATGCCTTCCTCTTCAGCTACACGTGTCTTACATAGTCTCACACCTGACAGTCGTATAAACATTATCCTTCGTCGCCCGACTATACGGGCAAACCTGCCTCGCCTTGTACACAACCTTCTCTAGATCCTCCTTCGCCAGCCCGCGTACCTTGACGAGGAGCTGCACACGTAATCCCATGTCGAGATCTTTCATGCTACCGACGAGTTCGACGGTGGATTCGACGATCGAGTCTTCGGGGGTGGAGGGCATTTTGACGCCGATGGAGGGGGCGACGGCGTTCATGGCGGATTGGACTGCGTGGAGTTAGTTGGAGCTTTGGAAACGGATTGTAGGAGCGACGCACAGCATGCACCGTAGCCGGCTGCGAAGAGTTCTTCTGGGTTGGTCTTTCCGGCGTCGCCGGGGCCGCCGAGGGCTTTGGCCATTGTTAGATCGACCTTTAGGTTCTCGCCGTCTACATGACTGGAACTTGTTAGCGTAGTTCATTTGCGTTCAATGGCATCGTTCATCATACCCGGTGCGTGCGCCAACTACGTGCGCCTTTGCCGAGTAAAGCTTCGGTGCCGTCTCGGTGTTCAAGAAGCGACGGCATGGTGCAGCAATGCCATTCCGTTGCGAGACGCGAACCGCCTGACGGAGCATTGGTGAAAAGGTTCTGCTAGCCATTGTATGTGAGGTTTGTATGGGGACGATGTGTGAGGATGATGTGGTGTGAACTAAGGCGAGGGATGACGGTAATTGGAGTTTGAAAAGACCAGGTTCAACTGTGTGGTTCACATGCACTACCCAAAAGAAATCTGGAGCTATGACAGCTGTGACGTCCACGCGGCGATCTCGCAGCATTGAAAGTCATGACGTTTGCATCCAGCCAGCTTGGTGGACTCTAGCGCAAGGCACTCCCGCCGCTAGTGAAGCGAGATCTGGGGAGATCGCGCATCGCTGTGAGCCGCAGAGAGAGGTGAGGGCTTGCAAATCTCATGCTTGGTCTGCGCAAAGGTAGTTTGAAGCTGGAGAATACATCCATGATTGAATTGACCAGCTTGTGCACTTGGAAGTCCATCGCCTTACGCAAGGTGTTCCTGCACTGGATTCGGAGCGGAGTGAGGATGAGTAAACACTGCAAAGTCGATGAAGTGTGACACCAATTGCTCCTTTCCTTCATCTTGTTTGTAGACATGTGTCCCCTCCCAACTCTTATTTTCCCAGACCACGATCACTTCTTCCTCTCCTTGACACTCATCCCAACGCCCCTCATCGTACACTGGAACCAACCGCCGATCTCCGGCTCGCCGTTCAGCTCAACGTCACATTCCGTGACCAATCGAGCCAGCGTCTTGACAACGAAGAACCTCGCAAGATGCTGTCCAGGACAGCTCCTACTCCCGCCCCCAAACCCCATCCACATACTGTCCATTCTGCCAATCTCCCTCATATTTTCCTCGCTGCCACCGGATAGCCATCTATCTGGGTCAAAATCATGGGGATTTGCGAAGACTTTGGTGTCAAAGTGCGAAGCCCAGAGGTTAGTCCCGACCGTAGTACCAGGTGGAAGGTAGGTATCGCACAATTTAGCTCCTGAAGCAGGTACAAGACGAGGAATGTACCATCCGAGCGTAGGCCAGATCCTCATGCTTTCTTTCATTACGGCCAGGAATAGCGGTACCTTCTGAATCATTTCGGAGTATTTGGTATGCTCTGTGATACCCTGGCTTTCCATGTCTTTGCGTAAGCGGGCGAGGATGGCTGGCGACTTGTACGTATGGTATATGACCGAAGAAAGTGTAAACATGAGTGTATCGTGTCCGGCGCCGAAATTGGTAAGTGCGATTGAGAGAACCCACGAAGGAGGGAAACGTGCCTCTTTATCGTGATGAAGGCGCATCAAAGTAGCCAGCATATCCGTCTCTTCAATGCCGCCCCCTTGTTGCTCCGATGTCTTCACATCTGTGCCTTGATCATGAAAGAGGCCCGGACGATCCCCTGGAAACTTGACATCCCTCGTGCTTTCCAACGCTTTCAATCTTTGCATGATGTTCGGAGCAGAAAAGCTGAAGACGGGCCAGACCTTCGGTAGTCTAACACCCAACAGTAAGCTAGCTGGTAGGACGAGCAACATGCCGACTTTCGGTATCGCATGCATCAGCTTTGCGAAGCCTGGGAAAATACCAATAACGGTGAAGCACTGCCATAACGCATCACTGGCATCTGCGTTCCCTTCGTCACTGCCCTTCTCTGTGTATCCTGGTCTCTTGCCTAAAGTAAACTGGCTCATGGACTCCAAGGCGAAGATATGAGTCCACTCCGCGAGATTCAACTCTTTTCCTCCAAACTCTTTCAGCCTGTCAACAAACTGATTGACATAGCTATCAAGCAGCTCCTCATGTCTTTCTAGTCCCGCAATGCTGTAAGCTGGTCCAATGGCTCTTCTTTGTCTGCGATACTTCTCCATGTTGGTTTCCGTCAACATATCGAGAACCTCCTCAGCAGGTTTCCGGCTTTTGTCAGGTGCGCCAGCTATGCAGTACCAATCCCCTTTCGTGAACGACGTCGCTGCTCCATAGACGGTTTTGATGGCATCTTCGTCACACACTAGGACTTGGTCGGGTGCTATGCGCACAATAGGCCCGTATCGCGCGTGTAGTCTGGGGAAGTGGACGTGCGATTGTCCTTTTCGGACGTGCCATGCGAGCCATAGTTTACTGAAGCGTGCGAAGAAGGGACCAGGAACGTTGCGTAACGGGTGGAAGAAGACTCTGTAAGTTGTTATATAGACAAAGTATGCTAGTAACAAGGATAGCATCGAAGAGGCGGCGGAGAACATTTTTGCGTTCTACGAGCCCGTAGTGTAGCACGATATTCGCGGGGGGCTGCGACACTATATAGAGCTTGATAAGCATCAATGTAAGCTTCAGGACACCCACGCGATCCTTGTTGGTTGACGAAAATCTTCCCTAATTACCAAGCAATTGTTGGAATACTGCCGGCGGTACCTCGCGATGGCAAGGCTGGTGCTTGAATGGCCATGCCGCTGGGCGCCTTGCGCAATTGCTCGCCTTACGCGGGGCTTGGAGATGACGACGCGAGCTGCGATGTGCAACGTTCTCTTATCGATCGTCACCTACTGTCTTAACTTGGCTGGGCGTAATTATTGTCATTGGAGCTGCCGTGGCTCTAGAACGACGTTGAGGATGTGGTTCGGAGTTCGGATTGTGAAGATTGTACTGAGATGTTGCCCCTAGGTTGGGCGTAACCCGCTCTGAGACCTTTCCTTTTTTGGAATGGCGCGATCGAGTGTCACAACGCGCCTTCCAACTGGCACGAAGGATGCACCCTGATCAGACCTTGCCATCTATGCTCAAAGACGCCTCGGACACATTCAGTACCGGCAGCATCACACGTCCGATGGCCGTGCATTCTGGAACCGCTAAAGCGCCCAGGGGCAGAGCCACCTTCCCCTTCACCAGAACCCACATGGCTCTCTGCGAGCTGGCGAAGCTTTTACATGTGCAAGTTACAGGTCATATCCTTCAAATCGCGAATCTCTCACATCTGCAATGTAAGTCGCGCGTATGAGCCTTGAATCGACGTGGCGAGCACTGAGTGGGCGGGGTAGGCGGGTGCGTCCCCGTGCATCGTTACACAGCATGGGAGCACGAACAGGTATTACCGGCAGCTCAGCCTGCTACACATGGTCCACACTTGCCTCTGAACAGTAAAATCACGGAACTCACATCTACCTTTGCTGACAGTAGCGAAACCTCACTACAATGCCATCAAAAAAGAGCACTTACTCAGCTTCATCAGCATTCAGTTGTACTCCTTGCAAACGAAGCTTCGCTAGTACTGAGGCCTTATCAAATCATTGTCGTGCCAAACATACGATATCCTCCACTACGCATACTAGTACTGCTACTCAAAAAGCCGTCAATGTCCCAGGCACGATTCCAATCGAGAATGTCGAATTTGCAGCACCGGTTGTCGTAAGACAAACCCCCACAGCCTGGGAAGGATCCCTTGCTTCGCATTTTGAATCTGCACTCTGCATTAGCAAACCTCCACCGCCAATGGCTGGGAAACCACCCAGCGTGGCACAGGCAGACAAGTATGCCAAGCTTGGTAGATATCGAGCTATAGAAGCAAGCAAAGCACAAAAGCGGGCAGAAACACAATCGAACGCGCGAACAACCAAGCAGCTGCCACAGTACAGGTCGAAGAACAACTCTACAGGTCAAGAAAAATCTGCGCCACTTACAGCGCTCGCGTCATTATGCCACACCCGAACCACTCTTATCGCAAACAAATACACATTCGACACCAACCGCAACAAAGTCATAAACGACATAACAACACTCATGCGCACATCTCTGCCTACTCCCCCACACAATTCCCACTCGCCAAAGCGAGGTGCCATCTTGCTGAACTGCTCAACGATGATAACACGCATATCAGCCATCGATTACTTCACTAGAGAGATCCTCATCGACGCTGTGATCCAGCCATTCCAACCGGTCGCAGACTGGTACATATCTCATAGTCAGATCGCGCAAGAAGCGAAAACATCAACCACACCCATTGACGCAGAAAGCACACTACGAAGCTGGGCAGAGGCGCGTACAGAACTATGGAAGTACATCGACGCCAACACCATCCTAGTAGGCCACCGTTTACGCCCCTTCCTAACTGCCCTTCGGATGCAGCACACGCGCATCGTGGATACGTCGATTCTAGTCGCAGAAAAACTGGGGCGAAGAGTTCAGTGGGATTGGAGCGTCAAAGTCCTGTGTCATCAACTGCTCAACCTGCAGATTCAAGACGACGACAACGCGGGAAGTAATTCCATCACGCATGCGTTCGCCACACGGAGACTTGTTGAGCGGTGGATCACAAACCCTGTTGAAGTATCGATGTGGGCGGATCGACAGCAGAAAGAGTGGTTTGGTAGGAGGAGATACGCGCGTGACAGGGAAGGTGGGTATCTACCGAACCCGGATGGTTGGATCTTGGAGTTATCGACTTTGACGGGAAGAAACCCTTTTTGCCCAGATTGATGCATGTGCAAGACATCGTGGAGATGTCTTTGTTTAGCTTCAGACACCCTATATATGATTGCCGATACACCTCATACAAGGGTAGAACCAAACAAGCCTGTAGCTTACACTAGGACACCATCAAGGAAATGAGAACATTTAGTTTCAATGTGGGTTTCACTGGTTTGAGTCTTTGCCCTTAATGTGGTGAATGCGGACGAGCTTGCAAAATGTATATTCAAAGCTCACAGACGACACCGATCGTCCAAGAAACGACACACCTTTTTATAATACACTTCTCAGAAATATACCCTGCCTTAACAATGACCATTATTCTCATCCATTTTCCCATTGAACATCGAAGGCGAACTGGAAGAAGAAGGAGAAGACGCCGATGCATGCCAATTAATTTTGCCACTCTCAAAATGACTGAGAAACTTCGCACTCGCATTCGCACCGATTTCGCTCAGGACCTCTGCAGAAAACCGGGATTAACAACATGCTCTGAACGGGTAATGAGGTTACCTGTCTCCGAGTAGAGGTTGTGACTCGTGGCTGTCTCCAGCGCCAACCTTCTTCTTCTTACCTCGCTTCTTCCTCTTCTTTTTGCTTGCGCCTTTGCCTCCGGCATGCGAAGACTCGGCTTCAGAATGCTTTTCGCCGTCTTGACCATCGACTTGGCTGCCGTTCGCTTTCTCTTCCGAGTCGCTGGAGCTTGTGGTCTCCAAGACGATCTTCTTGATGCCATTGACGTCGACAACGTTCTCAGAGATGCTACCGCTTCGAGCAGTGTGTCGCTTTTTCAAGGGACTGCGCGAGCGCGAGCGCATCGAGCGCAGGGAGGCAATGGTGCTGACGGAGCGTGCCCGTGATCTATTTGCCTCGCCGTTCTCGTTGCGGTTGTCGACCAAGAGATGGGTGTTTTCGTCGTCTTCGTTCGCACCACCCTTTGGAGACATAGGTTCGTCGTCGTGTTCCCTCATACCCGATCGACCAGATCTCCACGACATGCGGTCGCCACTTGGAGCCATGGTGCCATATCCCACCGCTACGCTGTGTACGCCGTCGCTAGCTTCGCGACCTGCCGATGCTAGCAAGCCCTCACCAATGCCACCCTCAGGCGCATGAGAATCTTGGGTTATTACACCCTCAGTCGGAGTTGCCTCGGTGGGAGCCTGGGAGTCTTCCGGTATCGTCTTGGGAATGTCAGGGGTCACGGCTGCCTGACCGGGCTTGATCTTGACAGTGTTGATACGAGTCTGCTTGGGCCTGGTCGCGACATTCGAAGGGCCGAGATGCTTCAGGTGCTGCATGACGGTCGGATCGTCACTGCGGAGAGGTGAACCAGCTCCCTTGCTGCCGCTGCTACGGCGACGAAGGAGGAAAGAGGGCTTGGGGTGGCCTTCAGGCATTTCGGGTAGAGAGGTCTTGCGTGGCGCCGGCTTGCCATTCTGCTCCGCGTCTGTTTCGGAGTCTACAGCTTGTGCTTCGGAAGGTTTGCGGGGAACATCGGTGACGACTTTGCCTCGAGGAACGCGGGCGCGAGGGGCGGGGGCCATGCGTCGGATTGCCTTGTGTACGTCGATGAATACGTCGGACTCGTCGATGATTTCCCTGGTCTCATTAGTACAAACTTGGTTGGAAGATCCGGCGACAATGTAGGCGCCAGGGTATTCTTCGAGGATGCACGACTTACTCTCCGATCAATTCTTCGATGACGTCCTCCAGAGTAACGACACCGACGGCACCGCGTGCCTCAGCGGGGAATTCAGAGACTAGCACCATGTGGGACTTGCCCTCTTGGAAGAAGTTGAGGATGTCGAGGCAGCTCGTTTCCGGGCGTGTCTCGGGTAGGGTGGCCAAAGCAAAGTCGCGTACGCGTAGAGCATCCTCTGGATCGTATGTGATGAGCATCTTGACCAGGAGCATACCGACGAAGTTGTTTTCATTCTCGGGGGTATGGATGGGAATACGGGAGTAGCCAGCGGACAGGATGTTGTCCATCATCTTCTCGTCCAAGACAGTGTCGGATGACATGGTAAAGACATCCTTCATGGGCGTCATGATGTTGCCGACAGCCTTGGCCTTGAGGTCCAGCACAGCGGTGATGATGGTGACTTCGTCTTCGTTCAGGCGCTCGTGCTCGAGTCCGAGCGACTGGTGCAGGCTGACTAGTGTCTTCAAGCCACCCTTCTTGTAAACGGTACCGTGGTCTTCTCCGAGGAGGTAATCGAGGAGTTTGGCAGTCGGCCAGGCGACGATGCCCATGATGTACATGAGGCCGAGGACGATGGGTGCCATGATGGCGCCGATTGGCAGACCATAGCGCACACAGATTGATTGAGGCACGACTTCACCGAAGATGACTGAGGACTGTTAGTTGTAAACAGAGTAGGTGAGAGTGGATGCGCGTACCAATAAGGACCGTGGAGCTGACAACGGCAGGCCATCCTCCGCCGAGGGATCTGTCCAGGACTATAGGAAGGGTTTCGTTGGTAATGACGTTACTCAGGAGTAGCGTTACCAGAACCCAGTGCTTGCCTCGCTCGAGCAGCTTCAGCACCTTGGCCGCGTTCTTGCGCTCGTGCTTCTCGCCAGACGAGGCAAGCACTTGGAGATAGATTTCGTCTTGGCCCATCAAGCTGGAGAGGACCTGTTAGCGTGTTGTGACACGATGGCGGGACCGCGATGTACTCACGCAATGGTCAGACCCGCAAACACACCACCGGCCAAGACAAGCGCGACGGCGATACCCAGTAGGAGCCAGCGCTCTCCATCGTTGTCCGTGGGGACCTCCTCTCCGGCAGTCCTGAGGGTCGCGTCGCCAAAAGGCATGGGCAACGCGGTCACCATGGGCGCGAAGGCGTGGAAGAGGCCGATGAAGGCGAGGCGAGCAGTCCGCATGGAGCCATTGGCAGCTGCGCGAGGACGAGGGGCGCTCATTGCCATGGGAAGCACCTCAGTGCGGGAAGATGAAGAGTCTCCGAGTCGGGGAGATGGACTGGCGAGAGAGGTGGACTCCAAGGTTTGTGGTGGGCGCGCAAATAATGATGCGGAAGCAGCGGTTTGGTGGGTCTGCGCACGGCCGGGATCTAGACGTATGATGCAGCCTCCCAAAGGCGACAAAGGCGCGTGCAGTCTTATTGTGTCAGACCTCAACCCTTTGTATACACCCGGCGTAATTAACAGCAGTCTGTCCTTCTATCACGCAATGGCATCTGCCTCTGATCACACTGCACAGCATGTGTACGCGTCTTCGGTACAAGGGGCCGGACACAAAGTTGACCCCGGGGCGAGGCTTCTTCCCGCTAGCCTGTATTGCTTTCCCCAGGCTCAAGACTAGGCGCCAAGTCCAACACGGTGCCGTCTTCCTACCATCGTAGCCGTCTTTGCCATACTCTGCAGCATACCCAAATCAAAGACAATCGCAAGCCCTTCATATCACAATCGCACAGTGATTTAGGAGATTTGTCGCAAACCATCGAAGTTTGGACGCGCTAGTCTCCACCTGCCGTGCGAACCATTCTGGCGTCAATCGTCATTATGCAGCGCCCCTAGCCTTGGCAAGCATCGAGTCACGTTACTTGCGGCCACATCACGTGCCTGCACCTTCCTCTCTCGGCGCTTGCCCGCTAAACTCCGCAACGTTTGAAACCTGGAGAGCCGCTGGTAGCCGGGGCATACACCCGCACAACCGTCGGCTCACATGTTTGTGCCCAGCATGACTTTATTGCATGTACCTTTTCTGGGGTTCTGGGGAAACTCGTTGCTCTCATTTCTATAGACATGGCTGCTAGAACACCGTCCATCCGCGCATTGTCGCGCTATCTGCTTCGCCCGCAAGCACCACTCCGGCCCCGCTGTCAACACCACCTTCAACGTAAACAATACTCCTCGGCAGCACCTGGCGCACGCCTCAATGGCACAGTAGAGTACGATGCAACGCCCATTCTCCACCACACCGCCAAATCCTCCCTTGCGAACCCCGAGTTCCCTGCAGATATACAGAAGGGTCAGACGAAGCGCATAAACCTCTACACCGCCGTCAACGAAGCCCTGCGATATGCATTGCAAACAGACGAACGCGTTATGGTGTTTGGAGAGGATGTGCAATTCGGCGGTGTCTTCCGGTGTACCATGAACCTGGCTGGGGACTTTGGCACAGAACGCGTCTTCAACACTCCCCTGAGCGAGCAGGGACTCGTGGGATTCGCTATAGGAGCAGCTGCAGAGGGCATGAAGCCAGTGGCCGAAGTTCAGTTCGCCGACTACGTCTTCCCCGCCTTTGACCAAATACACAATGAGGCGGCCAAGTACAGATACCGGTCGGGGAGCACTGGCGTCAACTGTGGAGGACTAGTCATCCGCATGCCATCAGGCAGTGTCGGACATGGCGCACTGTATGACTCCAGCAGTGCTCCTCTTCAAATCGACTGACACGTCACTAGATACCACACGCAGTCCCCAGAAGCCCTCTTCACCCACACGCCCGGTCTACGCGTCGTAATACCCCGCTCACCCGTCCAGGCCAAAGGCCTCCTCCTCTCCGCTATCCGCTGTCAAGACCCCGTCATATTCATGGAGCCCAAGATACTATACCGCGCGGCTGTTGAACACGTACCCGTCGACGCGTTCTATCTTCCGCTCGACAAGGCTGAAGTCCTCAAGACTGGCAAGGACGTCACGATCGTTTCGTACGGCACACCGCTATACACATGCTCAGCCGCGATAGCAGCAGCAGAGAAGGACTTTGGATGCAGCGTTGAGCTGATAGATCTGCGGACGATATACCCCTGGGACCGAGAGACGGTTCTAGAAAGCGTGAAGAAGACTGGACGGGCGATTGTAGTGCATGAGAGTATGATGAATGCTGGTGTTGGTGCAGAGGTCGCTGCTACGATCCAGGAGAAGGCTTTCCTCAGATTAGAGGCGCCTGTGAAGAGGGTGACTGGGTGGGCGACGCATACCGGGCTCATGTTTGAGCAGTTCGTCATTCCCGATGTTACTAGTAAGTTGAGACATATTGACATGTGGGTGCTCTATTTTGCTGACATTGGCAGGGGTCTACGATGCGATCAAGAAGACTATAGACTATTGAATCAATCCGCCTTAGACACATTATCGAACGAGGCTGCGACCATTGACGCAATGCTGCTACGCTTTCCAGATAGATGCCTCCCGCTTCTAGCCACTAAAACATTCCAGTGTTAGTCATATCAGGGAGATCATCCCTGCTCACCCAGGTGCAGAGATAGGCGCCTGCCGTCAGACGTGGCTTGGACCTCTCATTCGTTGAGATTCCAGCCTTGCTCATGCACTTTCGGTTCAATTACAGGTAATGTTATATGATCTCTCAGCCTGAGCCCCGCAACTTTCTTTCATCCTTTCTCTTTCCAGTGAAGGTTGAGAGATCTCATCTCTGGTACATAATTTGCACGCTTTAACTTGTCTTGACTGCTCACATCTTTTGCCGTCTGTCAAGCCGCTTCGCAAGGTTCGCAGACGGGATTGTCGCCGCTCAGCCTTGCGGCTTTTTTGGCCTGCGGAATAGCTCAGCTGCGTCTGCCTGCCTTCGAAAAGAGGCCCCTGCGTGTCTCTCATATACTCCAGCTGTCCTTCGTTGCTTCCAGGCTCGTTGCTGGGTACGTCATGCCTCCCACTGCGACCGCCTCTGCCGGAAGTGGCACGCCAACAGCAATACCGATCATCGCTACTCCAACCGGCTCATCAAGTTTCAATGGCGAAGAGTTCATAAATAACCTCGGCAGCGACCTGGCGCCTCTCCTGACGCTATTCGGAGAACAGGTCACCAAACAGTTTCTAAGCTTGTCGCTTGGCTGGGCTGATCACATACTCCTCGCTGTCGGTCCGCTAGGAATAATCACTACTGTGGTCTCGGCGATCCGAGTCTCCAACGTCCGAGTGTTGAAGGCTCTGATCGGTCGGTATGTTCTTCCCATCCCAGGATGGTAACGTTGCTGACGTTGACTAATAGTGCGCGGGAGAAGATCGCGGTAGCGGAGCTAGAGCTACTCTCTTCGACATCAGATGCAACGTCGGAACTCTGGACTGATGAAGGGGTTGTACGTCAACCGGGCCATGCTAAAATCCTCGAGCTAGTCGCGTATAAAGCCAAGTCTACAGCAAAGGCCTCAAGTCAGGATGTAATCGAAATCAAAGCTCCTAGCAAGGTGTGCATCGGCGACCTCCATGAAGCCTGTCAGAAACGAGTTCTCAAACTTGCGAATGAAGGTCATTCGAAGACGTTCACACACGTGTTTGGCAAACTTAGCTTGAAATCGAGGAAACAATCCCAATTCCTCGCTCAACCCAACATCGAGGTATCGCAAACCCCATGGCTTACAGAGAGGCTCGCCAAACAACCACCAAACCTCACACTCAACGTGCACAAGGCCATCCCAACTAGCTGCGAACTATGGACTTTTGCAGTCTTCAGTGTTGCTCTGCAAGTTGTTGCTGTAGTAATACCCGCTCTCATGACTTACCACTGGAAGATAGCCAAGAGTACAAAGCCTGTTCAAAATTACGCGTATCCAACTTTCCTCATGGGAACGAGCTTACTCGTCGGAAGCATAGCACTGTGCTCGTATGTCATCGAAGCAACAACTGCTGAGCATAAGTTCACACCGACAGACGATTACGATGTGAAAAATGTCTTTCGATTACAGCTGCAACAGATCATTGGTGATCAGCCATACGAAGCATACGTCATTTTGAATCATCTTGAAGATAGAGAAATTCGCACTTCCAGATATGGCCCAGGCGAGACGCATGAAATAAGTGGTCCCTACAACCTAGGCACTGGCATAGAAGACGATCCCCGGAACGTTGGTCTAATCAACCGGCTTAGTGGTTGCTGGGAACGTATCAAGAGACGCGTTTTCGAGACATTTCCAGGGTTCGCGGAATGGACTATAAAACGTTCGTTCAAGTCCAGAAACAACACTCAAAAGCCAGTAACTATCGCTGCTGTTGCTTTATGTTTGAGTGGATTCATCTGCCAATTTATCGGATTGAGAGCACTGCACTGGTCCGCTACAGTCACACAGCTTGGTGTCACGCTGCTGATAACTTGTATTCGATCCTGGATCCGCAGGGGAATCTCACGTCAGCCGATATATTTTCGATTGAATAACAACCCGAACTGGATCGCCCTATCCGTCGGTAGTGCTTGCAAAGGTTCATGGCCCGCCAAGGGTGAGTCCTGGCCAGAGCAAAACTGGCACGATAGAGAACGAATGCCTATGGACTTTGCGCCATGGCATTTGCCAGAAAGTATCAATAGGACGCTCAGTAAAGATCTAATAACCATCGACGACCCCAGGATACGACTTCGGCAAAAGTTGCAATCTGCGCAGCCTGAATTCGATGGTGATCTCGTTGCCCTTGCCGAGAGCCTGAACAACGCCATACATGGTGTGTATCGTATCGTCATGCCCTCGACACAATCGATCGCGTGGGTGCACATAGTTGAGAATACTGGTCTCAAGGACTCTATCCCACACTATGCCCGCCTGGAGCTCACAACGGACGGTCGCGAATATGATGGCGGTTCAATGCATGCCTTACTAGCAATGTGGAGGTATTCAGCGAATCTAAAGAACCTCAACATGTGCGTTGCAATGGTGATCTCTGAGAAAGACTGCGTGAACAAGATCAGATTTCTTGAGGCCCGAATCGGCTCAACTGTTTCTTGTCAGCTTTTATCGGTTGATGGTCATGTGAGAAACGTCTCAAAACGCCAGGGGTACCCAGTCAGATATGTGCTCACCGGTCTAAGTATCGAGAACATGCAGGAACCTCACGCGGCTTCTGAAGCTAATCAGAACCGCTTGTATGGCTACCTCCTAGTTCATTTGAGCAATCCAAAAGCTGGATACGCTTATGAAATGCTTGCAGGCTTCATGGATGCGCTGTGGAAAGAGACGGCATTGAGGTATAAATTGGGAAGATGGTACAAGAGAGCCTCGGTCGATTACAAGGAAATCAAAGTGGATAGGATCACGAAGTACCTCGTCAAGACTGGTTTAGTGGAGACCGAGAAAGACGCTAAAATTCTGGTCTATTCATCCCTCATGCGATGCATTGAATGGAAATGCGCACCAGGTTCAGATGAACCTGTTCCCACAGACGACCGATATCCTGGTCCTTTACCACCAGCGGTTGCCACAGCGGTTGCCACAGCTCACGTCAACAGCCAACAACAAGATCAACCAATAAAAGGCGACTCTGCAACCGCACCAGCGAATGAGAGTCCACAAACTGGCGCTGCAACTACAGATGACTCTGGAAGTCAGCCCTCTCTTACACCAAGCATACCAGTACCAACCGTTACTGAGACGGTTCAGGTAGAGAAGAGCTCGAATGCGAGCGCTACGACTGCCGAAGCTTCTATGACTCAGCCTACTCTCAAGCCAAGTACACCAGTACCCAGCGCCCTTGATATTGTACAAGCAGACACAGATAAGGGTAAGTGTGCGGCGACTCTAAGCGCCGGAGAAGATCAATCTACTTCTACGGCAAGAAGACCGGTAGCTAAGGGCGTTAGAGCGCCGGAAAGGGGAGAGAGTTCGCGAACTGGAGCACAGATGACGAAAGCTTCAGGAGAGTAGCTGCAGGAATTGTATAGTCTTACATTCAATGTCACATTACGCCTATTTCTTACCTGCTCAAGCAATAGGTACGCTGAATGATTAGATTCCCGTCATGCTGTATATAAATGAGACGAGCAACAGACCTTTCGAAGTTTTGCTCAGCTCTAGCGCTCACTGCCACCAGGACCGATGTCGGATTCGAGATGTTTGAAAAGGTATACAATATTCATGACTATGCATACATTTTTGTTGAGTGTGTCAATACTCTTTGAGAATGAGACTTCTTTGTAAGCCCAGACACGCACACACCTTAAACAACAACAAAAGCATCAAACAGGTCTGCAGCCTACATTCAGATGAAAGGCTGTAAAGTAGATGAGCTGACTTCAACGCAGGCTCAGGGGTGTTTACTCAATTCTTTCCAACGACACCCTCAGCCAACTGCCACAACCTGTCGAGAACATCCTCAGCCACCTCGCTTTCAAGCCAAGCACGCGCCTTTTCAACAACCAACTCCCAAGTGTCCTCCTCATCTTGCATCTTCTTCTCCAGAAACAGCACCACGATCGCAGTAGCCAGAAGCTGCTCAGGATTTGGCTCGTTAAGCTGAGCGTTAGCTAGGCTAGCGGCGTCGCGGTCGAGTTTCATCGCATCGAACGGAAGCTTATCGATGGCTTCCCATGACCCTTCAAAGGACTGCCGTGCGATGAGGCGCTGGAGGAGGGTGCCGGTCTTTTCCTGTACTTTCTTCCTTTGTGGCGGAGAGAAGGAGGGATCCATGGCCGACCGACTCGACCGTTTCGAACCCGACCGACCCGTTGATTCAAATACTTGCGCGGGAGATAACGTGTGCAGCGCTGACGGCTGACCAGGATGAGCCATGGGTGCTGCACTGGCTTTCTCCAAACATACAAAGCCCATGTCTTCGTCTGAGCCGGCGTCATCCAATAGTGTAGTGCCAGCAGGTATCCTTCTAGCTCGGAATTGCCCGCCTTGTCCACCTCCTCCGCCTCGCCCGCCTCGCCCGCCGCCAGTACGGCCAAAGTGACCGCCGCCGTAGCCTCCACGGAACATAGGGGAGGGTCCAGATCTCGCCGACGCGGATGCAGGTCCACTGCCAAATCGTATATGGCCACCATAAGAAGCGGCTACCGGTGATCTGGTGGCTTGGCCATGCTCCAGGACCTCCCAGTCATCGTCATCCGCTAGATCACTCCGTTTGACTGTCGATTCCAGAGCTTTCTGGCGTTTCTCGGCGATTTCGGTCTCGTTAGACTCTACGGCTACAAATGAACAGTACTTGCCGCCGACCTGGAACTCGACTCCAAGACGAACAGCCTCACGTCTCTGAGACAACAAATAATGAGAGCTGAATTTTTTGAGCAGGACGTCAGTATCGCCAAAGGTAGACTCGGATAGCCATCCATGACCCTCTTCGAGCTCCTGTGTTGCTTTGCGGGCAGCAAGCTGGTGAATCATCTCGTCGGCCTCTTTGCGTACTTCTACTGGAATCTCTAGCTCCAACGGGCCTTGGGGTGAGGTGCCCTTGAGAACAACACTCTTTGGTTGCAAATGTGATGACTCTGAAGACATGAGGAGATAGACACAGGTACGATTGAACGGAAAAAGCGCTGGTATCTCGTGGGGTGTCTGCAAAAGCGTGGGGCGCTTTAGCTCCGGTAGACCCGCGAAGATGTCTTTTGACTCGCCGTCCTTGGGATGCTCTTCTACTACGTCCGGATTGTACAGCGAGATGGGCTTCGCGTCGGCGTCTGGGGCTTCCATTCGCTCTTCGTTGTCATCGTTGTCCAGGTTGAGGTTGATACGAAGGTTGTAGGCAACAGACTCGACGCTGTCATCTTCGTATTTGACTTCGAGACGGTAGTCCTGGATATGAGGGGTGAGTGCACCTTTCAGCATGCGAACAATCTTGCTATCAAGCTTTTCGTTATCTGCAACCATCTGAGCGAAGCCTCTTCCGGCCCTCGCGACGCCTTCAATGAGCGCACTAGACACACCTCCACCTATACCGATGGGGAAGACACGGACGTTGCCATTCTTCGTGTGCTTGGAGATGTAGTCGAAAAGCTGGTCTTGAGCCCAAATGTCGCCATCGATAAGTAGCATGAGCTCGGTAAGAAGTTCGGTGTTGCGAGCTTCGAAACAGGCCTTGACCGCATAGAGTGTCTCGGTCCCGCCAAAATCGGCCCCGAACGTTTCTACATGTCGAATAGCCTCCTCCAGTGTATCTTGGCCATACAACTGACTCTGTTTCCAAAGAAACGAGTGACTGCTGCCGAATGAGCAGATGTTGAACATGCAGCCGATAGGGATCGACTTCAAGAAGACCTTGAGTGCCGACACCAGCGTGGGTATCTGGCCGCCCATGCTACCCGATCGATCCGCAATGAAGATGATCTCGGGCTTCTGCGACTTGAGGTTGAACTTCGGTACGAGTGTGGTCATCAGTGCTCGCTGATTGGGGAGCGTCGGGTGGGTCTCTAGGATCGCCTGAGGTACGCCAACGTCTTTTGCAACTACCTGTAACACGAAGTCCTTGTCTAGACCTGCGGTACCTAGGGAAAGCGTTGCTGAACCTTGCGAGAGCAAGGCGTCCTCATCGATGGGATGGGATGTCGAAATGACCTTCTTGATGGGAACACCTTCTGCCATCTTGACATCCACGGTAATGGAGATGCCCTTCGAATCAACCTCGGCCGATGTCTCTTGGAGCTTTCCGGGATAGGATCCGTAACGGGGCGAGACGGACGCAGGTATGGTAAGACGAATTCCATCGACTTCCGCATCGTGCTTCAGCTCTTGGATATATTTGATGGACACATGCACAGATGCGCCTCCAGGAACGTTGCTGATAGCAGTTGAGAAGACATCCGCCGCCTCATCTAGTCGTTCGAGCAGCGCTGCGGCTTCGCCTCTCTCCTTGGCCTTTTCGTAGGTCTTCTTGGCTTCGTTCTTCTCCTTGACTAGGCCGTAGATAGTACGCTCGCCGATTTGGCAGAAGAACTCGACAACGCTGACGCCATCGAACAACGGAAAGGCATATCGGATCTCATCCACTGAATCCTTGGACCGGTTCACGAAGGTCTGCGTCAAGGTAGTGCGGGCGGCCGTGGAGATGATCGTCGTATGGGCGTCAACTTTAATTTGGGGGAGGTATGTTCGCTCCCGCGTTCCGGGATGGTAGATGTAACAACCGCACACGTGGCGCATCGTTGTTGTTCTTGTTCGAGGATTGATGAGTAGAAAGGAAAGGTTGTTGGGGTCTTTCAAGAAACAGCGCGCACGCTCCTGATATACCTGACCGGCCGGCTGCTGCCTGTTACAACCTTGGGTGGGGAATTTCCTACCGCTGAGGTATGACAGGCCCCCAATGGTCGTGCCAAACTTCGAGCTCATGAGTCACAAACTGCGGGGGCCATACCATCAAAAGGGTCCGGATTATGGTGTTGAGACCCCCGTAACTCGTTTGAAGCTGTTCCCATTGACGAGTCCTTCTCTTTTGGTAAGTACGTTACAGCTGGTACTTGTTTTACCCGAACATTCGAGATTTTCAAAGCTCGCAGAATGAGTCGCATGCCACACTCTTACGGCTACATGCCGCGTAACATCGTTGAGTTGTTAGTTTGTGCTGCGCGGTAGACTCCACGGCTACCTGAACTAGGTAGTCAGGCATCCTAGATTCTGGGGGCGGCCCGGCGCAACCATCAAGCAACGCGAGAGATGACTGGAACAATGACTCCTACACAGCGCGCAAAGATGACCGCGACCGCATTTTGTGATGTCGCGCGTGTGGGTTGACGGAGGAGAGAGACGCCGAAGTGTCGCGTCGCCCGATTTCTCAGACACCAACTGTGTCATGACGTCAGGCATCATCGCACACTTTTGAAACCTCGCGTCTGGCCACGATGATATATACGTCGCCCATTAATTGCTCATATGTTACTCTTACAACAATAATATCTCAACAGGCTCAACACACAAGATGGAAATCCCTGGGTACGACGCGCTGGTGTATTACGCCACACCACCAAACAGCTACATCGGCACCACCATCTTCCTCTCCTACATCGTCGCGGCACTTTACGCGACTATCAAGATCAGCTACTCGCTCTACTCTCAGTACTCGGCCATATTCAACACTTCTAGCCCGTCAAAAGATGAGAAGCTCAATGCAGCAAAGGCAGCGCGAGCGCGCCACATCAAGATCTACGCGTTCCTCGCTTCGATCAGCTTCGCGACATTGTCCTACCACATGCTCATGTTCCTGGTCACGCACTACCTGGAATGGAGCGGAGATAAGAGCAGGAGCTTTAGTAATGTCAGCGCGGAGAAGGTGAAGAGATGGATGTTAGAATCGACCTTGTTCCAAGATTTCGCGCAGGATCTGGTTAAAGATGCGCCGAACGCGGTATGGACGCAAGCTGCGATTCTGGCGACGTGGTTTTGGAACATCTATATGGCGCAAAAGGGTAGGTAATGCTCAATAATCCTGCGTGAGAGGGTACTAACGTGTACATAGCGAGAACGCGCAGATACGACACGTCGATGGTGCGCACGTACATCTTGCTCGGCCAGATCCTACCCATCTCCTTTACAGTTTCGCTGTTCCTGATCCAACTCCATCTATCATCTCCGGATATTGCAGGCCCAAAAGGAGCAGCTAAAACCGATGCTACGCCCAGACGTCGCAAGCCTATAGCAACGCTGCAAATCCCGAACATTCTTCTCAACGCCGCTCTACTCGCACTTCCAGCCCTGCGATCCAACTCAGTCTTCAGCGGTCTACTTCTTGTTACTCGCGCCGTTTTATTACTTCCCCACTTTTCGGCTATGAGCTTGAGGGATGCGGATGTTGTTAAATGTATTACTGTGTCTGGTGGATTTGCGGTTGCAAATGCGGCGATGATGAGGAAGGACCTCACTCCTGGCAGCGTCATGGGGTCTTTGGTAAACGGCGGGTACGCAGTGAAAGCTCTGGGGTGGGATGCAGTATTGGGTCTAATAGTGTATGTTGTGTTGGGTTGGGGCGGAGGGGTCTGAATACACGATCGATTGCCTTCTAGCTATCGATCAAGTGCCGCATTCATGCTAAGAAATACCTTATACAAGCAAAGCCCTACGCAGGTTTGCAGACTACATCAAGATAGAAACATGCAAAGTAGGTGAGTTGACGTTGATGTAAGCTCTAGAGGGTTCATTTTCTTCCTACTCTGACGCGGAAATGTGAATCGTCTGCTGCTGCATACGCGTTTGTATGTCGATTCTATGTATCAATCAAAGACGTCTTCCTCGCTCGCGAACCTTGGGTTGACATCTCCAAACTTGTCGCGTCGGCCACCAAGCCATCTCTCTGAGGGCCCTTCAGATTGTAAAATTAGCGCAGATCTTATATTCAGGATGTGGATGACTTACGAAAGGACTGGCAACTCAGACCATGTCCTTGGACTCTTGTAGAGAATTGCCGAAGTTTCGCTCAGGCATGACAAGTTTGCTTGGTGCATCATTACCCCTTCCCTTCCTGTACCAACCCACTTTCGCACCTTCCGATACCAAATACTGAACTAATAGTGCTGTGGCTTCCTCCAGAAGCGGGATAACGTCATCGTATATGAAGTGGACGATGAATCCCACCTTCAGTCCCTCGAGATGTTTGATCTGACGAAGGTACCACAAGGGTTCAAGCTGCTTGGCGTATTGAGCTTGTGTCTTGGTACCACAGTCAAATTTAAGCTCGATTTGAATGTGGCGTATATGCTCCTTCGGATCGCAGCTAGTCACGAGAACGTCGTAGTTCAGTGTGAACTTGAGCTCATGCATGCTTGCCACCCGGAGAAGTTTGGTACGGTAGAGAGTCTCTGCTAACTCGATTCGGTAGGTCTCGTTGACGTGTTCGTATACTGCGAAATGTGGAATCTCATCGCCTTTGACGGTACGTCTCTTGATACCGAGTTGCGTGGGGTTGCTAGTGAACTCTGCAAGATTCCAGGCCGTGGGATTATCGACCATGAGCACCTGATGCTGACGGTTGCTACACCGGCTCTCGAGGATGTACGTGTAGATGATATCGCGGAGTTCCCGAGGTAACTGGTGCACCATCTTCGAGGTGAGCTCCGAGCACCAGCCTGGGCTGGCGTCGTCACATACGAGTCTCAAGAACCTGTTGTATGTTAGTTCTCTTCCTTATGGATGTAATGACTTGTGTCTTACGACTGGTAGTGGACACCTTTTGGGTACATTCGACGTTCCACATCGTTGCGCGACTCGGCGGCTCGCATTCTTGCTTCTGCAGCTTTGGTACTAGTTCACATCGTTAGGTTCAAATTCATGATGATACCAGCCGCTTCAGTTTCTCCATAATGGAGAAAATGTATGCATGACCGGGATCATCATCGGCATCGCGCCGTGGAATCGATATGCTGAGCATACTTTTGGTGCTTGTCGAGTAGAGTTTTTCTGCTTGTTTAGTAGGCTCAATCTCCTTCGTCACGGCAATTGTCAGTAGTCAGAGGTTCTGGTGTGCGGCAAAGGTGGACGAAAGCTCGAAGACCGTTTGTTTGACAAAAGTCGTCAAGGGGGGTCAGTGCGTACCGAGCTGGGAGCTGTTTGCATTGTCTAGGCAACTAAGTCTCGAGCCACGTGTCTCTTCCGCGACAACTCTCCAGAGGAATTCGCAGGAGGAGAGTGTTTGCCTTTTGTTGAGCACCATATAGAGCGGTCAACATGATGGCTTAGACCGCCTTGTTAAGACCGAGTACTGCGCAACATACGTTTGACGACTCGAGGTAACTTTGCTCTTGGATGACAGACATTGCGCGTGTAGTGCGCTCCAATTCGTGACAATACTTCCTATCATTCGACCAGCGACTTGAAGGCCTCACTAACAGCCTTGAACTTGTCAGGTTGCGACAGCGCCCAGTCACGCACCTTGTCAACACCTTCCAGATCCGCCCGCATATGATCACTCGAAGTAGTCCCATTCAATACAACGACCCCTTGGTCCATGACAAGAGCGTAAAGCGCGACAGGCAGACCGACATCCGCCGTCCGAGCCAACGCAGTGACCGGCTCGGATCTTATAAGAGTGGGATTGCCGGTCAAAGTCCAGAACGACTGGTACATGATGTTATGTTCGCGGCAGAAGGCGCGTAACGGTACATCGTAGCGCGTCTGAGGGTAGAAACGATTCTGGACAACGGCCGGCTTTATCGTGGCATTCTCGTGGATGGCTTGGAGAATGGGGAGGCTGACGTTTGAGATGCCGAGGGAGCGGATCTTATCGGGCACATACGATTCCAGTAGTTTCCAGGCTTGAAGTGTTTGGTCAATGGTGGGGAGGGGAGAGTGCAGAAGTAGACAGTCAACGTATGAGGCATTTTCTGAGTCGTCGTATCGTAGGTTCTTCAGCGAGGATGCGACGGATGTGCGTATTTGGGTGACCAGCGGCGCGTCAGGGTCGTAGGGCATGTTGGTCATATCTTGGCCGGCAGGCGTGGTGTACTTTGTTTGCAACTGTGACGCATGAGCATCAAGTGGGTCAGATCCACGCTTAACCTACGTATAGTTGATCTCGTCTAAGGAGGCCCTCGGAGAAGGCTTCTCGAAGCGCTTCACCAACCAAAGGTTCCTGGTAATGCCGTGGTTGCGCAGCTGTGTCGACGCGACGGAAGCCTTGAGCGAGAGCTTCCTTGACTAGCCTCTTTGTTTGATCTTTCTTCCAAGCAGTACCGTAGATGAAGGCAGGATTACTATCGTAAAGACGTGATGCATTTTGATTTGTTGAAGCAGAGGCCATGTTGCGCGTGGTCGATAACGGAAGGATGTGGCAGGTCTTTAAACAAGATACAGCGACAGAAGTAGTGAGTCTACGAGCAGATAATGGATTTAGACATCTAGATGACATATTGCGAGCCCATCAACAGATAGATGTAGTTAGCTCATACATCCACGTCGAACATTGGGAATCTAGGAACGACCATTCACGATGGTCACAAAATGTGGTACATGACGGAAATTTGAACAATGGAAATGACCTCATGTTCCCACATTTGCCAAGGCGCTATCGCCGACGCACCAATCCGCGCTACTGAACCTTCCATCACGAACACGACGCGTCCAGCCACCTCAGCTTTCTGGGCTTTTGCACAGCCGCCCACCCCAAATCACGTCGCGCGCTTCTGTCTGAGCGAACATGCGATTTGAAATGTTCACACGGTCCTGCAGTATCCGTGACTGACCCATGGTTGTAAGCAAAATTATCCAGATGCCCGCTGATGCCTTCTGGTGCTCGAACAGCACACCTTGGAAAGCATCGCACCACTGCGCTCCTGTGCTAAACGCGAAGTCGCTGAGGCTGTCAATCACGCATATATCTGGATGCGGAGTTGCTGCCAGGAGTGCTGATAACAATTCGAGAGCAGCCGGCCAGCTCTCATCCGAACCACCCAATTCACGTAGCGCGTCCTGAGACACCTTGAATTCGTCTCCGTCGAACCAGAACTGCAACAGTTGCGATATAGGGCTATACGCCAGTCCGATGAGGCCGACCTTTTCCACGTCGCGATCTCTTCCAATGGTCGTGAATCGAGGCCTTTCGCAAAGAGAAGGCGTTGTTCTTGCACGCTTGGCGAAGCCTAGTATAACAAGTTATTAATGTAGCTTTGTCATCCAATAGTATCTTCGAAGGACTGCTTTTCGTTATTGAAAGCTATTTGCAACGTTACGTTGTCTTATACTAGAACATGGATTTGTTCAGACTCCTTTGATGCAGAAATCGGATACAAGCATTGGTGTTATCCATGTTAATTGCATCACCAGGTTTTGACCCGATGGAGATCTCCTGACGCTCAACACCTGCTAGCATCACGACCCTTTGAACGAGGCTTTTACATCGCAAACCTGGCTGAAATCTTTGGAACTATGTCGCACATTCAAATTCGCACCCATCTCATGGCTTGTTCTGAACCCCCACTGCCATCGCGGCCGGTTTTCGCACCCGTATGTTGTCTCGTGCCAAAGACGGACCCGATGAGTCCATTCTGTTATAGAATTCGATTTTTGGAGTTTTGAAAGAGAAAGCAAGGCTCTCGTACATGTTCTCGCTGCGTAACTCTTTGAAAGTGCTACTTACAACATTATAGGAAGAAAGACGGATGTCTGAGAAAGGTGGAAGGGACAGTATTTATACACCCTTGCTCAACCACGTCATGGGAACGCTGCATCTAAGTTTTGATACTGTCGCACTGCAGTACACATGCTTTTAAAAACAAGTCATTTTGGCAGATGCGCATACAAAAATGTCAAAAGAAGCTCTTGCCGAGTCTGGAAACATGGGGTTGTTGACCATGAGTTTTGAAGACATCAAGGTCGCGAGTCAGACTCGCGCACATCGAAGCGATTCCTGGTATTTTTGTAAAACACGAAAATCGGGTTTGAAGAAAGGGAAGCGAGCCCTGTGGAAGCGATGGGGTAGATACTTATACTCACGCGACGCTTCTGATGCCAAGCGGCTTTTCCGCTTTTGGACAGAAGATAAGAGCACTTGAAGCTGTTAGATCATCTTTGGTACATGATATTATGGCTTTGAGATATGGTACCATTTTCGACTCGACTGAAAAGGCCTATATACACCCAAGGTACTTTCATGCGTGACTTGTCGCGCCATCCATACGGATGTTTTCTGCCACCAGGTAGTTATCAGTCTTGCGCGACTGTTTCTCAGCTTTTCTTGCTTTCCTCGCCGCCTTCCTCTCTTTGCGCGACGGAAACTCACTCCCAGGTCCTTTCAAAATGATACCAGGATGTACGGCTGCCAACAATACGAGCGCCAGCACCATCGGTACAGCATCAAGTCCCAACACATACCCTTCCGTGCCCACGAGAACGTTTGTCGCACCCTTGACTCCAGCCGAGAACTCGATCAAACGGAATATGATACGCGTCGTGATGAGCACAAGGACAGCATACAGCGTATACGTCAACCACTTCCAACGCACCGTACCTGCCCTTCGGTCACTTTCCGTATCCTCTCGACCTTGGCGCTCCACCCTCAGCATATCCAAATGGAACCTAACAATCAACGCCAAAAACATCAGAATGAAAATCTGCTGCACACCCACACCAACCATATACACGTTCTTCCCGTACCCATTGGTCTTAGCACCAGCCTGAGGATTCATCATCACTCCACCCGCAGCCTGAACGATGAAGCTGAAGATATCAAGCCCCACAAACCAACCTCCTATCTTGACCGCTTCGATACGCCATAGCTTCTTCCGCGGATGCAAGAAGTACACCAGCCGGCCCGCGGTCATATATACGAAAGCGTTGATCCACAGCGGCGCTAGCAGGAAGAGCAATGTAGACAAGATAACCAACGCTTCGTTCTGCTGGTTTCGCGTACCGAGCGCGCGGAGTATGAAGGAGACAAACTCCCAGATCGCGCCTGTTATGAGTACCCAGCAGAAGCGCTTGCGGTGGAGGACTGCGAGGCCAATGTGCGCGACTGTGAGGAGTCCGAAGAGGAGGGTGAAGACTATAGCGGCGGCGAGGGAGGGATTGTATTGGTAGAGCGCGTTGCAGGCGTAGGGTGGGACGTGACCGTTTGAGTCGGGGATGGCGGTGATGCATGCTGGTGTTATGGAAGTGCTGGACGGGGCTGTTGACGACGACATGGTCGGTAGAGTTACTTGATCGTTGTGTTGCAGCGGACTGTTAAAGACAAAGTCTGTTCTGGGATATCGAAGCGAATGTGTTAGAGAGGTGGCAAAAGCACCACGAGTATCTTTATGTGGTCATGCTCCGCGCATGATACCTCTTTCTTTTCGTCCACGCAGCATTAGCCGGGCTGATGTAACGCTCCAAGCATCAGGCTCCGCGGTAACACGCGTTCGTGCCTAGATAAAAGCCTTTCCAAGCAGAATGGCGTGCGGGTTCCTTTGGCGAACCCTCCGAGGAAGTTTTGGCATCCATTCCGATGTGCCAAGCCATCCGCGGAGGGTTTCCATTCCCTCCGGTGAGCATACACAAAGCTGAAGTAAGTGCTCGTGTTCCCCGATTTCGCTTTGCCACAACAGCATAGCCAATGCTTGGCTGTTGAAAGACCAATCATTAAGTACCGAATGGCTTAGTACCGATCATGGGTGTAAGCGGAAAGTCTCCAAGCATGCTTACGAAAGGAGAAGAAAAGGCTACATAGATACAATTAAGGAATAAGTATTATGGAATTACCGTCATGGTGTGTGTAAATATAATCATGTCAGGGTATCATGCAAATCATCGCTTCAGAACGCCATGTCTCTTCCATCTTTCGTCTTCCTATCGCTTTTGCCGTCGTTTCCACGGGCATCATTCATTATCGCGTCCAGAGCGCCACCGAGTTAATGTCGGGGCCTGCAGGTGTGCTGTGTGTTGTGCTTCTAGTAAGAAGTGTCAGCTGTGATCATGTTGCGGCAACATTAATTGAGACTTACTTTGTGCCATCACTCGCTCCAAAAACAAGAAGTGCATCATGCATGCAAGTGCTCGAAAATCCAAAGTCTTCAAGAACTTTTGAATACCCATAGCATGCCTGACTGTGTCTGTGGAGGATGTGACATCTCCTTCGCCGTCGAAAGGTATGCTGAGGTTCATAAGAACGCTCAATGTCTATTTTCCTGTTCCGCACGCCTCAAACCCATCAGACGAGCCTGCCGATGAGCAAGCTACCATCGCTTTCGCTAGCCCGCAACTCCGGGTTGCGATAAACTGTATGCGCCGGCCTTGGCAACACAGGACCTTGACTATCGCAGCTATCTTGACTTGGGCTCCGTAGCTGTTCGGTCTCAGCATGTTGTATATGGATGGTCGGAACATCTGGTACGTTGTGGTTCTTGGAGAAAGCTGAGCGATATTTCGACCGTGCCGTCATCTTGGGCTGAAAACCGTGTGACGGCATGTCGGGTCGCTCAAGGTTGCTGCATTCGATGAATTCGTCGTTACGGGAGGTTGAGCGGGAGCTTTTCGGGCGGCTGATGCCGGTTATCGAACGGCGGCGCCCTGAGTCATCGCCAGAGCTGAATTTGCGGGCGACGATATCGTCCAGGATAGATTTGAAGTCGTCGAGGAAGATGGTGTCGGATGCGCACTTGAAGACGAGGGCGAACCGCCAGTATGGGTTGATACCGCTACTGGCCGTGACTTTTGCAGCGCTGACGGCAACGTCGGTAAGTAGGAAGACAATGGAGAGTAGCATGCATGCCAGCATGACGCCAAACCTCCTGTTGATACCGACGAGAGTCCACAGACTGAAGGCGTAGGTCTTCTTGATGGCATGTATAAGCTTCCATGTTGTGAAGATCCACCAGGGGTCGCGCAGCAGAGCCTCAAACGGCCGCATGCGAGGGTTGATGTTGGAGCCATTTGCAAGCTGATTGAAGTAGGCGAAGTTAGACCACGCCTCTGCGATCCAGAACGGTTGAACACAAATTAGCGATATGATGAAGAAACGAGATCCCCAGAGTGGTAAGAAGGGTCGGATCTTGAGCCACGAGACGACGTTGTGGAGGAAATATGATATGAAGAGTAGGGTTGCAGTCGCGCTGAGGTACCAGCCATATTTCGGGTCGTCGACGAAGATGAAGGTGCCGTGCCAGATGGCAAGAACAAGCTGAGTGAATTAGTAATTGGTATATACAATGAAGCAATTCGCCTGGAGGCAACACCGAGACTCACCTCAAGTAGAATAAGCTTGTGAAGCCACATGCCAGAGCGGTAGTTGCAGAAGACGATCAAGATGAGGATGATCAGAGCGCCGACATTGTATCCTTGAGCCCATGCCTCGAGAAAACCACCCTCGGTCGTCATGCTCTCTCTGTTTGGTGGCGAAGTACGCGTCGTAGCCGTTCCGGGGAATCGCTTCGCTACGGCCAGCATGTCCATGGTGCTGAGCGGTGCCATTGTTGTTTCTTGTAAATTCTCAGATCAGAGCGAAGCTGAGTCCGGAGCCATGTAAGGCGACTTCACTCACGTCGCGTATGAAGTGAGCGCGCGTCGACAAAGTGGGGCCGATCGTGGGCGAGAAGACGGGTAAGTGGCAGCAAGAGGCGTGAAAGAAACCCGGGGTATTGCTGCCTTACATAGAGTGGCAGAACCGGCTTTCGGGTAGACGTTATAGCAGAATGTAACGTTCATACAAACCTCTGCCGCCCTTCCAATGTGGCGGGACCGGCAACAAGGCGGTTGGGCTGGGTGGGCACAGCGAGGCTTTCAGGGCTGCTGGCCGCAGTAAGCCTCTCGCGCTGGCCACGGAAATACGGAACACATGATCGCATTGCCATCGCGAGGGACATGCCGCCGCTCTAAATTCTGACAAACATATTGCGCACCAAGTCTAGGTTGCGCAGACGTCTTATTGCGCGACGGAGCAATAGGCGGAGCCGGGAGTTGTTGGTGTGATGCGTTGTTGATCGGCGGTGATGTCAGGCGTGGCTGTGGTTGACAGGGCTGCCTTCTCATCTGCCTGAGACGAATGCGAAAACCTTACGCTGACTCGACGCCAAGGTCTGTTGAGCCTCATTTCAAGTAGTACATAGTGGTACATTTGGGCGCGCATTCGTAAGAGCTACTGCAGTAGCGGTCAACTTGACTTCCACTACCTGAGGGCGAGCAGTCAGCGAACCTCGCGCGTAGTATCTGTGTTGGGCGAACTGCAAGCAGCGATCGGTGTAAGCACACTAACTGTACGACGGAGGACGGCAATGAAAGGGCGATCAATACCGTGCCTGGCACCAATGTAAGCCATGGCAATGAGGAAAGATGTCATACTGCGCAAAAGGAACAAAGAGGTTGTTCCGAGATCTCAGATGCGCAGCATGATCTCATCCGATCCTTCCACCAACCTGTCACGCCAACGAGACTGCATCAAAAGTACAGCAAAGCAGAAAAAGCCATGAAACACGCATGCGGATGTCGAAAGTTTCTCTAAAAGTCGTTTCTATATCTATGATTACATTACGGAGGGTGACGTACGATCTATGACCCGATTGGCTGCAAGCGCCAGGGCTCAAACTAAGCCAGGGGCCGAGAACCCTTAGGCAGAGGAACAAAGAAACCGCCCAACCTGTCTAATCTCCCCCCATTTGCATTCTCCATGAAGCCTTGTTTCTACCCCGTGTGCGTCTTCTCTTCTTTACCCGCAACCGCTATGCGCGTCTTGCCCCACCGGAAATCGTCCATCCTCCACAGCGTGTAGAACTGCGTGCAGACGTTGACGTAGGCCGCGGACCAGGTATAGGCAACGCAGCCAATGACCGTCTGGACAACATCGATGAACGAATCGCACGATATGAGGGTGACCATTAAGTCGAAGACGCGTCGGTAGTACTCGAAAGCCACGATATAAAATATGGTCCGATCGTCCAGGTCACCTGTTAATCTCATGTTAGCAGAAGTTCAGTCATCACAGCCGAAGTGGTACGTACGGAAGAACCGCGAGATAAGAAGTGCTGGGTTCTGCACCCAATGCGTCAAGGAAGCCAAAGCAGAAGCTCTCTCCATCCAGCCCGTCGATCTGCGGCTGAGGAGGAGACTATCGCTTGTGAGCGGCCCCAGTGTCCATCTACGGCGTTGACTGACGAACACCGAAGGAGTATTCGGTGCTGTAGTGTACGCTCGCGCACTGAGGTTCACACGCGTCCGGACGTGGGCGTAGTGTGCAATGACGAGACAGACGTGGTCTCTGTCCTCGCTCATCATGGAACGAACTGTACGGAAGAGACCATCGGAAGCTTTGGGATAGTAACCGAATTTCCCCAGGATGAAGTCGCCCATTGTCTCCTCGCAGACTCGCAGGAGTTGACAGCAGCCAGGCAGGCAAGTCACCTTTCCACTTGTGAGACTCTGACGCAGGCGACGCCGATGCTGGCCAACCATGTACTCGGCGTTCTGGTAGAGATACGAAATGGTCCAGCCTCCCAAAGCAATCGGGTCGGGTCGAATGTAGCCGGTTACTCCCACAATCTCATCGCCTTCTCTTGCGGTCTGCATCAGGTTGTGGACGCATTTGGTGTCGAATCGGGTGTCTGCGTCTATTCCAAGAGCGTAGTCCACTTTCTGGATGGATTGGGTCTCGAGGAAGCCTGAGAGCTCGGCAAAGAGCTTGGGCGAGATCATCTTCAAATCGGGGTTTGCCTTGCGCTGATTGAATTTGTTCAGGAACGTCCGGATGAGAATGATGCCATCTCGTTTGCCGCGGTTCTCGTTCTTGATAACGCAGATGATTGGAAGACCTCGGAATTCACCCTTGATGATTTCAATGTCCATTGGGCCGTCGTCCCAGGCCGTGTACGCTTCATTCATGAACGTGCTAGTCGGGCGCTCAACAATATCTTCTTTGAGATGGGCGGAAGTCGTCTTGGTCATGCCCTTGCAGCTAACACGACCATCGCAAACTACGACAATAGCCTTCTTGTGATCATCCAGCGACTGCTGCTCGGCCAGCGAAACTAGCGAATTCATCATCTCCTCATACGACTCGTTGTAGCAGCAAAGCAGGTAGACCAAGCTCTCCGGTGTCGCGGGGATCTTGATTTGAGGCGGGTTCAATCGCTTTCGAATGAGGGCATGGATGACCATGGTGATTTCGATAAAATCCACAACGGCTCGAAAAATTAGGTTCGGAAAGAGGACCCAGGAATACTTTGCCCAGTCTGCGAACATGTACATTATGAAAAGGCTGAGTAGCTTTATTAGCAACTCGTATCTTGCGCATTGAGGAGTGATGGCGTTGATTCACTTACTTGAATGGTATTAAGATGGCCCATACTGCATATTTCTCAATCCTGAGACGACCCGTGTTGACATCTGGTAAATGTTCGATAGCGCTGCTCAAAGCCCTAGAGGAGAAGAAGCGCGACCGTTTCTTGAAACTGCCAGCAATCTGAGCGCCCGAGCTCGCGGTATTGAGGACATCCATCTTCATGGGGAAGATAGGAATTCCCGTGCTGTGATGTGGTGAACGGGGAGTGCTGCAAGAGCGAAAGATGCTATTCTAGTATTTTGTACAAACGCCATGTACCTTTTGGAATTCAGGGTCAAGTGTCAGGGTACGAGCGTCAAACTAAGCATCTCCACCATGAAAGTCTGGTTAATCTCTAGAACGCTGGCTAGGCGATACAGTTTCAGGCGGTGTAACGCAGGGACGCCAGGGACGGTGACAGGGCTGATCACCGAGGTACCTCCAGGCGGCGTAACATCTTGTGCCTGCCTGCGTGGCTTTCCTAAAACGCCATTTTGTGACTATTTTTCATGTTGAACACGCATTAGTTCGGAGGTACACCGGTGAGTCCAAACATACGGACCGCTTCGGAGTACTTGGTAGTACCGAAGCTAAGACTTGGCGCGTAGCGAGACTCGCTGCTAGTGTATCAATACCGGATGAAATTTTGCCATCGCAATACGGTCATGTCTCAGTGGGATTGTGCGTTCAGTAGAGTATCAAGATAGGAGTAATTTAGCGAGTTCAAATATATACCTCGTCCCTAAACCATGTCGCCTCTGGGACTTTCTCGATTACTGAGCTTGTTATTTTGTACATCTCAATTTGTACGACCACGGATTATCACTGGATTACGGAACTACCATGGAGAAGTACGATCAGGATTCCGTTGTTGCGATCATCGGAGTGGGATATGTCGGCGAACATCTTATGGAAGTCTTCTCTTCCGCTTACCAGGTTATTGGATACGACGTCTCGGCTTCCCGGATAGAAAGATTGCGATCGAAGCACTCACAGAGAGGCAATGTCAAATTCTCGACCGATGAGAGGGATTTGAAGGACGCGGCACACTTTCTCGTTTGCGTACCGACCACCCTGGGATTGAGCGGCCAAGTAGACTCATCACATGTCCGCAACGCGATAGACATGCTGCAACGCTACGCAACCAGCAAATCGATAGTAGTCATAGAAAGTACCGTCGCCGTCGGCATGACAAGAGCTCTCCTTGGGCCGCTGGCCGGATCCCGCGGCATCCTTGCGGGGATGTCACCAGAGGTAGGATGACCTTTTCGTCCGCAAGAACCAGGACTGGCTGACACCTACCAGAGGATCGACCCAGGCCGGATTGAGCCGCCGCCTAAATCAATACCAAAGGTCGTCTCGGGGCTCGACGACATTGCCCCGGGCTCGCTGGATGCCATTGTACGATTGTATGAGACGGTCTTCGACACTGTGATCCCTGTCAGCAAACCCGAAGTCGCGGAGATGTCAAAGCTGTACGAGAACTGCCAAAGGACGATAGCAATTGCGTACGCCAACGAGATGTCAGACGCTTGTCAGGGACTGGGGATCGACCCCTTCGAAGTGGCACGCACAGCCGCCAGCAAACCTTTTGGGTATCTGCCGATGTACCCGTCGTTGGGAATTGGGGGTCATTGCATCCCGGTTAACCCGATCTACTTCATGTCGACATGCAATCTTCCGCTCCTACAACAAGCGCACGAGAAGATGATGTCGCGGCCGTCGCGCATCGCCAGCCAGCTTCTCGCAACCATGATGGACGAGTGCCACAAAAAACATGGTTCGACACACCGCCCTAGGCTTCTCGTCGTCGGAGTCGGTTTCAAGCCCGGGCAGTCGGACCTGTCACACTCGCCAGGCCTGCAGTTGCTGAATTACATGCGACAGTCTGGCGAGGTAGATCTCATGTTTTGCGATCCTCTGGTTAACCAGGAGGCGATACCCGAAGTATCAAGATTGGAAGAAGGTTCTTGGAAGCCCGACGTCCTGAGATCGTTTGACGCCATCGTCGTAGCGGCGAAACAACCTGGCTTAGACTACACAGTTCTGGAAACCTTGGCAGATGTGCGGATTGAAGTCTGGAACAGATGATAGCTGACGCGGGCTTCAGAGGCCGACACATCTTCAGTCGCATTCGCAAAGTGGCTCTATTGGTTGTTTGGCTGGCCATCTTCTGTACACTACTGTTTTCGCCTACTTAATGGTAATACACGCCATCTTTCGTAATCGGCCCGAGGAAGTGATCGTCCGGTCTTTGCATTCGGTACCCAAGTCTAAGACCGGCTAAATTTGTCTGCACATTTGGAGATCGGGCCTAACGGGCGTTTATTTAGTCCATACCGGCGCTTTGGAACATTTGGCCCCTGAGATTTGGATGCAAGCGGTGAGCAGTCGCGCCGCTGCGGATGTGAACCTAAACACGGGGCGAATAAGTCGCGAAGCTCGCGGAACCGGCTGACAGCGTCGCTGTGGTCGCAATGGATCTAGATAAGCTGGACAGCGCCGCATCAGTCAGCCGAATATCCAATTCATCATGAACAGTGCGTTGGGAGCTTACCATCCATTTTACTACACACCATTGGGAAATATATGCCCAGTAATAAATCCACTCGTCAACGTTGAGACTATCAACTATGGAAGATGCGGACCAGGAGTTCAGCAACCTGAGTGTAGCCGATGCTGCTCGAAAGATGTGAGTAGTTGAAGCCCTGCGTATCGCCTACCGCCTTACTCATCAATGTGAATAGGGTATTCGCATGACACATCCAAACTTTGCTGGTAAACATATGTGTCTTTGGGACTATGGGTTAGCATGCGATGGCACGCAATGGCCTCCAGGATTCAATACATCAGACACCCCTCGGCCCAAGCTGGGAGATGTTCCCTTTGGAACGAAGATTTTCAACTGCAAAGTGGAAAATACGCTTGCACTCACGTACGATGACGGTCCTCGAGAGTGGACAGCGGATTTGTTGGACATCTTGAAAGCCAACGGCGTCAAAGCGACATTTTATATCAGGACAATCAACCTGTACTGGGAGCTGATAGCTCACAAGTTCGATGAGAGGTCTGCGCTTATCAGAAGAATATACAACGAAGGACACCAAATCGCGGGACATACCTGGGGCCACAAGAACTTGGATAAGATGACCCCGCAGCAACGCAGAGACGAACAGATAAAAGCAGAGATTGTCCTCAATGACATTCTGGGCTTCTTCCCAACTTACATGCGCCCGCCGTTCAACATCTGTGGCCCTCAATGCCAGGAAGAGATGGGAGAGCTCGGTTACCACGTGGTGAGTCCGCAGGAAGCAACGTAGAGGAGCGGGACTAACCTTTTGAAAGACTGCAGCCGATCTCGATGGACGGGACTGGGAAGGTAATTACACCTACACGGAACAGAACTTCATGGAGAAGATCAAGGGCAAGAACCGTAACGGGGTTCGGGCCTGGTTGGGCCTGGCGCACGACACCCACGAAGGTACCGTGCATAGATACACACAGTTCATGATTGACAACGCACGGGCGCATGGATACAAGCTGGTGAGGGTAGGGGAATGCTTGGATGATCCGGAGGAGAACTGGTATCGGGACCCTTTGACGGGTGACAGGCCTGTTGAGATGCCTCCAAGAGACATGCCGTGATCTAGCCTTGCAATTAGACTTTGGAACAAGCAATGATCTGAACCAGGAGTCTGCATGTCAGCAATGCGGGGATGAAAGTCAGGACCGAAAGTTACATGTAATCCATCCATGGATGGGCGGCCTTGATTAGTGATTATGTTCGGGAACGCGATGACGTCCCCGTCGCGTGCGGAAGATTGTCCGTGCCTCCGCCCGCGTAAACAGCTGTACCAGCAAGCCATCACCCTCATATACCAGCAACCATGTCTCGCACCGCTATACCACGTGCCGCACTACGTCTTAGCTCAAGAAGCTCATTATGTACATCTTCGAGGTCAATTGAGGCGCCAAGCCGCAGTCTGTAAGCTTCAATCGCTGCTTTGCGCAAACTTCCCCGCTCACACCACCCAGGCCTATATTGCGCCCAACACCACAATGCTCGTCACGCGCCATCCGGAGCTTCTCTATAAGCACGCAATTGCAGAAGAAGGCCGGTAAAGCGAACAAAGCCCATGCGCGAACCGACTCGGCACCACCCGTCAGCAACCCGGGTCCGCTCACTCCTACCGACGAGGCCTACGATGTCTCGGGCTTGGAGGCACAGATCCTCAAGGCTCTGGAGAAGCTTACGCATGACCTCAGCCAATTGCGCAGTGGAGGAAAGACGAACCCTGAAATCGTGGAGAACTTGAAAGTGCAACTGGGCACAGCAGGAAACAAAGAGACGGTGAGACTGGGAGATATCGCGCAGGTTGTTCCCAGAGGGAGAATGTTTAATGTCATCTGCGGGGAAGATACGGTAGGTAAAGCCGCTACTATAACAACACCAAGTTTTCTAACACTCTACAGCACGTCAAGCACGTTACCTCCGCCATCGCCGCCTCACCGCACTCGCTCACGCCCCTCACACCCGAACCCTCGAACCCACTCACGATCCAAGTCCCGCTCCCACCGCCAACGGGAGAATCGCGTCGCGCAGCCGTCGAGTCGGCCGTGAAAGCTTCTGAGCGAGCAGACAAGCTGATACAGCAAGGACGCCAGGAACACAACAAGAAGCTGAGAAAGTTCGAGCTGAACCGCGATGTGCTGCCGGATGACCTTCAAAAGGCGAAGAAGAAGATGGAAGAAGTGGTGAAGAAGGGACACGAGGAGGTTAAGCGTATCAGTGATGGTGCGAAGAGGGTGCTTGAGAGTCAGTAAATAGCATGGAATGGCATACTGCATTATCGGGAAAGTACAAAAGTATCACATTATCATGCGCAATACTTCTGGTGCACGACGCATGCGATTGAGAAGTGTTGCGCCTGGGCAGGTCTGTGTGGACTCTGCCTCAAGTCTGCCTCAGCAGTTTCCATGTGCTTACACAACTTCTTAGCAAAACGGTGGCCAATCGAGCCATCACGTACTATCTCATACAGATGGCACAAGGTTTCAATTGGACGATGTAGCAGCCGGCATCAACACGAGCAACGCGAGCGGCTCAGCCTCCACAACAGTGCTTGGCGCGACACTCGCGCATCATCTGGTGACCACCAAAACCACCACATATAGGGAGTGGCTAGCCAGATTCACAGGCCAGGCTCCATATGTAGGAAGATGAACATCGCGAGGAAGAGCTATGGCGACTGTCAGAGAGTCAGATGACACTGGTACAATCAGGCTTGGCGGAGCGGACGGCACGAAGGTATGTGTGCTGATACCGACAGCCTCTCGCTGGACGGATGTTGACATGACCAGGGCACTGCAATCAATACAACGTCCATAACCCGGGCTGAAGGTGTTGTGGTTACTCGCCTGCCTATGGAAGACGACCTCGAACTACCATCTAGCACCGATGTAAAGTCGATCTTCCACATCTACGAGAAGCATAAGTGTCATAAAAGCATTACACCAGTCCTCGATCCTACTCTGGAACGACGGTCTGGCCCAACGATCAAAGAACAGAAGGCTACACACAAGGAAAAGAAAGAGCGTCGAGACGCTGGACTACCTAGTGTAAAACCTGACGATAATGCGTTCTTCCTTCACCGACCATACCTCGCCTTCCACGTACCGCCTCGCGTACTTTACACTGGCAGCAGTAATTACACCGCGCAGCCAGCTATCTTGATATACGAAGGTTGTTTCTGGAAAGAGTATAAACTGCAACTCCTCCCATCCACCCCCGGCATACTCGACCCACGCGGTGTGGTCCCATGGCGCCACAACGCTGGCGACAAGAACGCCCTCAAGCACGATCACCACAAGCTCAAAGGGTACAAAGTGCGGACGTGGAGGTTGTGGGGTGAGACGGGCAAGGAATACGTTCGCTCCGTGAAAAACATCCGTAAGACTGGCGGAGGAAAAGATCCCGATGTTATTGCCAGGACGAATGGCAAGTTAGAAGAACCTGCGACAGCCGACGAGGTGGTGTATCTAAGGTGGAAGAGCCCTCTTTCTCGTAACACGAGATGCTATCATTTCCAGTATGTCGGTATTGACTTTTTCTGGAAAGGAACAGGTACTATCAAGGAATCTCGTACGTGTGGTGTCTTGTTGCGGTTCAACCATCTGAAGCTAGTCGCCAGGCTACCAGTCACTGAAAAGAAGAAAGAGGAGCGAGATGAGGTGTGTTTGGGGGTATACACGTCGTCTGTTGCGAGTAGAAAGAGTGGTACTTTGGAGTTCTTCGATACTGTTATCTTGCGTCTCATCAATGAAAACGCGCCCGAGATGCTACTTCGAAGTGAGGAAGGGGCGGAAGAAGAAGAGGCGGAAAGTACGAGGATCTTGCGGATGAAGAGAAGTAGGATCTATCAGGTGTTTTTAGCTACTGCTATGTGTATGATCAAGGGTGAGAAGGAAAAGAGACATACTTTGTTAGATTTGCTGGTGAATGTTGCTGAAGGTGGTGCGGGTGGCTAGTTATAGATGGTTCGCTTCTCTTGAGCACATAACCCAGTTGAAATATACTATTAGACGTCAGTTATGAAATCATGGCAGTGTGTGCATGCAGTTTGAGTGTTGGTGTGTTGATGGAGCCTCGGCTGATTGCTATCGATAAGACTCGCGCTAAACCTGGAGGTCATGACGTGGGAGATGGCCATTTCTAAGAATTCGACGCCGCCACTCCTCCAACACCCCATCTCCCTTCGCCGACTCTCCTGTATGCCCGCATTTGCGTTTCCGAGACAGTACATCTGCGCACGCTGTTTGCGCACGAATCGAAGATCCAATGTCTTCGTTCCATCCCGAACCACGGCGGCAGGGCCTCTGAGGCGATACGGGCAGACGGCAACACAGCGCAAAGACGAGGATGACGGGAAACAGGAGCAGGAAGACGCAGGAAACAATGGCAATGGGTCAGGCGCCGAGGCCGAAAAGGAGGAAGGCGCATTCACGCGGCGCATGCGAGAAATGAGTGAAGACGCGCTGGAGTCGGGAGGACATGGCGCCGTCAAAGCTGTGGAAGAGGCAGGCTTCAGTGCAGACCTCAAGGCACAGCTCGAACAGCGAATCGCATCTGCAAACCTCCGGTCGTCTGAAGCAGAGCTGCCCGCCTTCGCCTCCCGCCACACACGCGAGCTTGCCACCACAGAAGCCTGGACCGGCACCGAGTCCATCCACGATGCGAGCCTGCGCATGCTGAACGACACCCATAAGCCGCTGCGACTCGGGCGACCAGCCAAGATGCCAGGCGTCCCTATACCCCAGTCCATTGATACCGGACATGCTCGGAGCAAGGAGGGGCGGGGCGTGAGATTGGCCAACGCACGCGACAGGAGCACCGTCTACGCTTCCATCAATGAAGACGAGAGTATAGAGGCTTTCGACCGAGAGAAGCGGTTGCAGGACCTCAAAGACCGCTTCGAACCAGGTGCGCGCACCATCGTCCCTGGCTCTATCCAAGGCATCGCATCTCTTGCGAATAAGAGGATTGAAGATGCCATCGCTCGTGGCCAGTTCAAGAACATCCCGCGCGGAAAGAAGGCCAACATCGAAAGAGACTACAACGCATCGAGCCCCTTCATCGACACGACAGAATACTTCATGAACAAGATTATACAAAAGCAAGAGATTGTACCGCCGTGGATCGAAAAGCAGCAGGAGCTCACGTCGGCTGCAAGCAAGTTCAGAACTCGACTACGGGCGGACTGGAAGAGGCATGCTGCGCGCGTGATAGCCAGCAAGGGCGGATCGCTACTCGACCAGATCAAGACAGCTGAGGCATTCGCAAAGGCAGAGCTGATTGCAAACCCTCTGAGAAGGAAACAACAAGAGACCCTCACCACTGTTGACGATGACGGGCACATGTCACAAATTACCTTGTCTGGAGGACTGAAGGTAGACTCAGATGAAAGGTTCAACGCGGAGCCAGTAGTCACGGAACAAGTCGTAGCCAAAAAGGTTACATTTGATGCCTCCCCAGAAGCTGTAGCGCAGGACCCAGCAGCAGCTACCGTAACAGAAACAACCACGGAAACCATGGAAGTACCTGTTCAAGCTCCCGAACCAACAGTCGCACCAGCACCGTACCCTTTCCGCGACCCAGATTGGGAGCGTATCGAAGGCGGCTACTGGAAAGTCGCCATCAAAGACCTCAATGACAAGGCGCGCAGCTACAACCTCCTCGCACCCGAGCTAGCTAAACGACCCTACTACAATCTGCAGCGCGAGCTGAACTCCTGCTTCGCCGACGTCGCGCCCCAACTCGCCGGGGCCATCCTCGAACGCGCACGCAAACCGCCCAAGAAAGCAGATAGTTGGCAGAGCTCCGGCCAGAAGAGCGTGCTCGACAACATCATTGGAGGGCCAGTCCGCGTGCGAGATGAGCGCCGCGAGAAGCAGTATGGGTTCCGCCAATTTTGGAAAGACCTCTGGGCCGACAAGTCCAGCAACCCTTATTGAGCCACTCACCACCAAGCCCGATCCTCGCATCCTCATGCCCGCGGACTCCGAAACCTCTCGTCACCGTGTCCTTTCGAAACCCACTCGCCCACCGTTGTATGTAGCTACCGCGCCCTTGCTGCACGACATCGAGAGAGAGGAACATGATCGACACGCACATACGCTTTCGCCTATCCCTGGCTGTAATCCTTCGTAGCGACCTCGAGGTCAGTGATCAGCAACACGGATTCCAGGTTTTCAAGTTCTTGTTCAGGCTTGTCATGGGCATATGCACGTGTTTTCGAATGGGGACGGATCTACATCCTTTGACCCGGAATGAGCGGTGCCCCCCGCTACCGACGCCCTGGGTCGATAACGCAGGCGTGAGGCGTCGGGAGTGCCGTGACGGGCAGGGGGGTTGGATGAAGTACTACGGCCGTACACCCACCACAACAACACCAACAAGACTCATCTGTGGGGTTTCGCGACTACCCAATGTCCCAATCTGTCGTCAGCTGCATGAATCCGCGGAGCTCGGCGAGACCGCCTTACGTGCGAGAAAGTGAGGCGTTTGTTGCTGCTTCGAACTAGTTTACCGGGAACCACGTTTCTCGGATTCGGATACGCTTAATACGCGACTTTCATGCGTGAATCTCGATGGTCGCGTTTAGCCAACTATTGGTCCTCTGATATACGCAAGGGAGACGGTGCTTAGTTGAGCTGACCGGGTTCAGCTCCTCGGCTCGGATGCATTGTTACTCAACCGGGCAGTACCTGCATATGGTTTCTCGGGTCGCTCAAGCGGCAGTTCTAGGCGGTACTTCCATGCGTTTTCCTACTCTATAGCCAAGCGTTGTAGAGCTTACACGAACCCGACAGCCTGTTAGCGTGTAGACATACGCCGAGGTAGAGAGCAAATTATGTTGGTTATCGGTTTGCATGTCGCTTTCTCAGCACCTCGCGTGTATGTATGTGTATGGGTGGATGACGGATGACAGACGACAGCGGAGTACACCGCTGCGTTGTAGTTGTCATGTCTTGGCGGCTCCAGATACTTGGAGTAGGTCGCCGATATCCGGGTCTCTCTCTTCCAATTACTACGCTTTTAACATAGTGGTCGCAACTTCTCACTGGTTGCTTCATTTTATTCAGCAATATCAACAATACACGTGCGGTGATGCTTGGGTTACCGGCATCGGGACTTGACGCGTTACTCTCGATACGAGTTTGTACAGTTGAAGCTCGCGAGTAATTTGCATTGGTGCGTTCTACTCGCCAGGCGTGGGATGCTGTAACCTGACGTCGGTTGTGATGCTTGAAGTTATCTGCGTATG